GAGGCTTCAACAATTGAATTTACTACTTTTGGGGCACCTCGATGTACATTTACAAAGAATAGAATCGGTACGTGAATAAATTATCAGATCATTGCTCCAAAAGAACCAATAAGCAAGTTTCTGATTCTAAATGAAGAAGATCATTGAGCTCATTTACTAGCAAATGCTTTTCTATATAGATGAGAGTTTTGTAGAACTAACCTTTGAATCAAGAATCTGTCTTTTCTTCTACGGTAACTTGCTTCAAGGTCTTGGAATGTGCTTCGTTTGTCACGGGCAAGTCCACGAGGTGTGTGAAGGAGCAAAGTACATATGGAGTGACATGATGCATATGATAATACCCAAGAAAAGCTGCAGGATTATTTCAGGAAAAGAAGACGCATGAGGCAAATACGGGTTATGAGAGTACGAGTGGGTACAGACAATATTTATATCCGAACCTGCACTGTTGGTTTGAAACTGAAGAGGTATATGGATGCAACCATAGTAAGCAGCATCGCCATTGATGTAGAATAAACCTAGAAGAAAATCTGGATGTGAGTTTAAGATCATATTTTTTCTTACTTTCTTATGTTTGATTATGAAGAAAAAGTTTGATCCTTACCTTCACAATATTGTATGCATACTTCATTAGCCACGAGACGAGTAAGCCGGTGGATCCGAGATTCAGAACTACCATCCAAGTGGTGATGCTATACCCATCAAAGATACGTTGCCACCAAGGACCTTTTTCAAACCCGAGTCTAAAATCATCTGCTATAAGTCGAGCAACGTTGAAGAGTGAACCAAACCTGATAAACGTAAAGAAAGAAAGAATAAGATCTATGAACCGAATACCATTTCACAATGAAGAGCTTCAAAGTTGAAAAAGCAGCGTGACTTTAATACTTTTGGCACGAAAAGTTCGAAGAAGAGATACCTACGTATACAACTGCAAGTTTTGCCAGTATAAGCTGTCATTGTTTCTCTTCATCAGAAACTCTATATAGATTCCAGCTAGTGCGGACAAACCAGCTGAGAAAAAGCCCAACAAATATCCTTGTATTGGTACTGTGAATAACGAATCACATGAAGCTTCTCCACATCCCTTAACCTGAAACGACAAGACAAATTGAATAGTTGAAATCATTTTGAATTACCAAACATAAAACCCAAAAACTGCTAAGATGAGCAATATTTTGCAAAGCATATAAGGTTATAAGCCTAATAAAGATTATTTTCCAATAATCAAACGCAATTCAATGAGTATGCATCACCTGGCTGGTAGTTGTTCCAACGGCTAAAAGACCGATTGCTATCCACTGAAGGTTTGATAATTTCCTCTTCAAAAATAACCTATAAAGACGATAAATTACAAATTACTTACTTCACAGAGAGAGCTCCAAATCATATCTTTCCTTTTTTTAAAAAAAAAAAAAATCTTTTGCGCAAAAGGATAGTAGAGAGAGACAAGACACAGGAAGCAGATACCTAAACAGTATGCCAGTAGTCACAATCTACTGTGTAGCAAACTGCACGTTGTTATGGATCAGATATATAAGAGAAGGAATAACAAATAAGCGCACGCTCTTCCAATCCGTAGTGATCCTTGCAGTTGTTGAGGTAGATGTCTGCATCTCTCTCCAGAGAAATAAACCAGAAATGATCAACTGTAGAAGAAGTTAACAAAAGTACGAAAACACTCAGCAGCAAAAATAGACATGTAAAAACTAGAAAATGGGGTTTAGCAAACTGAAAACAAGAAAATACCTTAAAAACTTCGGCAAGAAATGGAACAGTTGCATAATCGTACTTATAACCTCCATTGCTTTGAGAAAGAGTGGTTAAAATTCCCTGAGATATGAGTTTACACAGTGAGAGAAGGAAAAATATATCCAATCATGTCCAGTTACTATCTCAAACATAAACCCAGAACACAAAGGATGTGATCATGACTTCTATAGACTAATAACTTGAATTTTCCAGTAGCTTATTGGTGGCAACAAATTCTCACTAAACTTGTTCAGCTATGCAAATCAATCAATATGAACTCGAAATAAAGTGGGTCCTGAATCAAGAGAAAAACAATCAAGCACTCGCAAAGAAACAACTGGAATATCGCATCTCATGATCCATGCTGGAAAACATGGAAATAGGATTAGCACAATCAAAACCGACATGGTCCCATATAGATTTGGCGAGAATACCACCAGCGATAGATCCATAAACTCATGGAAATTCCAAAGATTCAGGGAAAAAGGAAACAAATCGAATACGAGTTTAGAAACCGCACAAAATCAGCAAAGATTCAATCAAAATTAGCAAAAACATCTTAAGCAACACAAATGGAAAGATAGCCTTGTAGCAAAAGGAGCAAGATAAGTTTTCTAGTGACTATTCATCAATTCTCTTAAGTAGTTGATTGCATAGTTATAATTGTCTACGCTTGATTGCTTAGTTAAGACTATCAAATTCTAAAGCACTAAGAGGAATATATAAAAATATGCAGTGAAGAAGTTGTTAAGCAGAGCAGTCTCATAGCTAAATAGATGGAACAATCACTCACTCACAATAGTGAAACTGTTGACAGTATGAACTTGAAATAACTAGCCACAATAGAATGAAATTGGATCCTGAATCA